AGAAAGCCCATGGCATCACCTCCTTCAGTACAAGGATCGAAAATAGGACTGCCTGGGGAAGATGTGTCCAGAATGCTCCCAGAAAGCAGGGAGGAGAAGCCAGTGCACAGAGAACAGAATTATATTGCTAGTCATTGTTGAGTCCTGTCCTGGCTCAAACCCTTGGCTTGTGTGTAGCCTCCTGAAAGTTGTTTAAGTGTTCTTAGGGTAGGGTCTCTCATTCTTGAAATGAATGCATTATTGCTTTTTTTCAAAAAAATATGCTTAAAGCCTGGTTTGACTAACCATGATTATGGATCATTCTTACATGTACAAGTAAGAATGGCTTTTGGATGGTGCCCAACACATAAGTATTCCTACTAAACTCCATCTGAAAATTCTTCCTGGTAAATATTTGCATAATATGGAAGATATATTCCAATACATCTGTGGCGTGGAAAACACTTATGTCCAGGTGTAGCACTAAATAATGAAAAGACATATGGATTCTATGGAAAAAAAAGTGAGGACATATTTGGGGAAATACGTTGTGCTGTGGATGATTGATTGATAAATAAAACACTGATTGGTCCGTAGCCAGGTAGGAAGTATAGGCGGGACAAGCAGAGAGGAGAATTGAGAGAACAGGAAGGCAGAAAGGAGAAGACACCAGCCTGCCGTCCAGGGAGCATCATGTAAAGGCAGCAGGTAAAGCCATGTGACATATAGATTAACAGAAATGGGCTGAGTATAAGAGTAAGAGCTAGACAATGGTAGGCCTGAGCTAATGGCTGAGCAGTTTAAATAATATAAGGGTCTATATGTTTATTTTATAAGTAGGCTACGGGACTGCCGGGGCTTGGCAGGACCTGGAGAGAAAAACTCTAGTAACAATGTTGTTTGATGATTTTGTTCTTTGAACACTATAAAACAGATTTATACAAACTAAGATGGTTATTCTGTTATTAGGCTATATAATTAATTTCAAGGGCTCAATGTCTTGCATGAAGATAACTATTCACCAAAATATAACTATTGCATGAATAACTAAATGTTTGCCACTACAATATATGATAAACAGGTATAGTGGCCCATACCTATAATCCCAGAACTTGGGAAGCAAAAGGATTACCTTGAGTTTGAGATTATCTTAGACCACCCAGCAAGTCCCAGACCAAGATGTCCTACAAAGTAAGACTCTGTCTCAGTAGAACAAAATAAGCAGTATTGTGATTAAAGGAGCTGACTTTACCCTATTCACTGGTTTGCTTACCTGCAGTATCTAATGAGTGTCATAGTATATTAAATAGAACAGAATGAGTAGTCTTGTGTCATCTGATCCTTCATTCTACATTCTAATCCACCCCTTATCCTTCACTGCAGAAAAGGAGTGGGAGAATGCTGATGGCAATGTCAATTATGCACACCCGAAAAGAGGGCATCAAGAGGGAACATTGAGATGACCCACTGTGTTCTCTCATGATCTGTGCTATAAGTGGTTTTTCCCTTAATGTCTCTCTCTGTCATTAGAGTGCATCTTTGCAATCTGTCTGCAAAACAATCAGAAAAGACTCTTATCCAAATAAAATAATTATTGAAATTGTGCTTCATGGAGTTATCAGTGGTTAAAATCAGCTCGGATTACTGTGCACTCAGGCCATCCCAGCAGGAAAAAAGATCAATTGGAAACATTGATCGCTATGTTTTATTTTGTTGTCAGAGTTAAATTAATCAGGTATCACACATAACAATTCTTACAGAAACAGAACAGTGCTTATCTGAATATATACCAGATTTCAATCATTATTAAATTTACCTTAACAGAACACAAAAATATTAAATGCAAAACTTTCAAGGAATAGAGTCTACTCTTGGGTATTTATGTACATATCAAGTGAATTCTAATAGTTCTCTAAGTAGGGAATCAATTGTATATTAGCACATTTTAAATTGCGTGTGTGTGAGAGAGTGGAGGGGATGGTTGAGTGATGCAAGCTTTTATGTGCACTACACATATAGGACTAGGGTTCAAAGAAGACAATTTAAATTTAACTACATTGATTGCAAAGTGGATTTACAATTTACATATTCAGAATCTTCCAAGACTCTTACAGGACACATATGATGCCAAGTGAAGGAAATTCAAGAGACAGCAACTGAAATAGATTTTGCTGATATGTACAGCAAAACCTACAAGCCTCATCTAATATTCACCCCTAAGAAATAACTGCACATTGTAATGTTAAAGACGTACAAAATAAAAGAAACTCAATAAACAATAACTAAGATGGAAGCCCTCAGGTAGAGGACTATGGCACAGCAACTGAGAGATGTACTGAAAATGTCTAATTGATTATTAAACTTGGTGAACGGTGGTCTTGTTTATTGCTTTTAAAACAATATGCCATTATTTCACCTCAGTTGTATTAAGATGAAATTATTTTGGAACTGAACTTACTGTCACATCAGGCATGCACTCTGGCACTTGTGACTTATAGCCTGAGTTAATGAAGTAAGTCCTTCATTAAGTGTGCACCCAACATTCACTGGTTCAGATCTGACTGATGTTCATGCACAAGTAAGTCAAAGACCCTGGTGATCATAGAGTTTAAAGATCCTCAGGGCAGGCAGTGATAGAGCCTCAGTGTATGAAAAATCCCACCTACTGTAATGAAAATAACCAATAACCTGGTCATGGTGATACTTGACTAGGTTATCAAGTCATGTATCCAAGGAGAGGTGCTATGGGGGGGGGGAGCAAGAACAAGAAGGAAATTAGCAGTGAGAGATGCTGTCTTCTTAACTTTGATCCACTTAAAGTTAAAGAGGAGCCACAGCAATGGTAGCTGCAGTGAAGGAAAGGGAAGTCAGGTCAAGTGCCAGGGGAAAGCAATCAAATTCCAATCATATAGATGAAATCCCAAAGCTTAGAAAGGCTTCCCAAATATCACATTCAGAATTTAAACTGATTATTCTCAAAAACTTTGCTAGTGAGAAGGCACATGAAGGCCAGGCCCCTCCATGTAAAGGGGTCCTGGTTTAGGGGGAATGAGCTAAATAAGAATATCTCCAACATCACTCTGAATAACATATACCATGGATACTAATGGCAAAGCCTGTCAACTTAAACCTCTAAGTAGTAATCACTCTTTGTCAGATAGGCACTTGGAAGACCAACGGAGGGAACCCCGATCAGATTATGGAGATACCCAAAATGAGAAATTACTTTTGCCTTATCAATTTGGTTCTGAGCCAATTATTTCATGTCTTTATGCCACCAATGGCACCCTCTGAGAATAAAGAACATATAACTCAACAAAGCAATAGCTTATGTAACACAGTAAAAATGTCTGTATATATTCAAGTAGATCTAGGTATAGAAACTTCTTGAAATTTCAATGAGACCAGGGCCCTGAGATTCCATTCTATCTCAATAAATAGAACTACATGTACCTTTTATCTCCCACATTCATATTAATATATCCCAAGAGGTAAATTTTTATTCTTTAAAAAAGTTTATTTTAAGAAACATTCTGTTTCATATATGCAATCAACTGAAGCATTTGCCAGTTCATGTGGAAATGCCCAGCAGGCACTGTTGGGAAAATAAATGAATAGAGCCTAATATATTTTACAACAATTTAGCAGTTGTGTACTTGGTTCCTATGTTTCAAAATCATCTCTGATATTAAAATTCTTACAGGCTACAATCCCAATCTACAAAACACTCCTGCATCTATGACTTGGGGAACATTGCAGAAGAAAATCGGGGTGGTGGGATTGTAAAAGTCAGAGGATCAGGGAGATTGCTGTGAGATTGTGCATTCTAGTAACATCAAAAGCTGCACCCATAGAATCTCACCAACATGACTGCCCAATGTGCAATGGAAAAGGACAACACCAAAGGACATGCCAAAATGGGTAGGAAAAACCATGAGGCCTCAACACTACCGAAAGAACTACAGGCCACTTAAAGAAAACTGGGAGCAGGAGAGGAGGTCTTCCCCAGGGCAGAACACACCAACTGGTTGTCCAATGCCAAATGTTCAGCCCTGAAAATATTCATAAAACTAGAATTATACAGACTGAGCAGCTTATAGTTAGGAATATATATGTATAAACACAAATATATACAATAACAATTAATGAGAAAAGAGGTCATGAATTTGAAGGAAGGGGATATGAGAGGGTTTGAAGGGAGGGAGAAATTCTGTAATTATATTATACTCTCAAACAATAAAAATTTTTTCTTACAGGCTAGTGTAAGTGAGGTTGAGTGAAATGAGGTATGATGGGTGTTCTAATGAAGACAGTACTGAACAGAGGAAACCATGTAACCTGGGGTCCTCCCTGCAGCAGCGGCTGACAAAGCAAACCATGACTTCAATTCTTCCTATGGACAACCTTAAACATTTCACTTTCATTGCATTACACTTCCCACTGAAAAAGAAGTATGAAAGAGTATTTAATAATAATAGCAATAATAAATTTATAATAATAATAATGCTGGGCTGGCAGCAATTCTGTATTCAAGTCTAAGAAATATTCAAAGGCTGAAAGAGTAGGACAAACACACATTCTCTCTCTGCGAATCTCTGTCTCTCTCAAAAAAACAAACAAACCAGGAACAAATACATCTTACACCTCTCCCAACTAGACAAATTTTGGAGTATATACCTAGTTTTCAGACTGAACAGGCCAAAGCGAGGAAGCCATGTGATCCTGCTGACTGTATTGAGAAATTGCAATGGTGGGTTGCTAGCTTTGGATGGGAGGAGCCGATGTTTTGACTGGTAAGATGGACTGGGTACAGAGGCACATTTCCTCCTGCGGATCAGTAATAACTGATATAATAGGTAGATCCAAATATATTTTTCTTCTAATGATGTTAGTGTGCAAAGTCACATGTTTATGACACAATGACTACATATTTCCTTTCCATAAATATTCTGTAAAGCATAAAGGCAGAGTGCTCTTACACGGAAATAACAAGGTGACTGCCTAAGTTCTAAATCTTGCAGGGTATGTTGGATGCCTCTCTCTTCCTGTCCTGTGAAGCCTAGGATGCATCCCCAGTGTAGAACCCAAACCTGCCATGATTTGTATCCTCAGGGAAAAGTCTGGACTGCCAGCAGTTACCTCCGGATGTTTTCCTTCCCATTTGGTATGTGGTTTCTAATGTATGCTGTGGAGAATCCTGACCCATTCTTGAATCCATTCCATGAATTTTTAAAATTATATTTGGCATGTCCCTTTAAAATGTTTCGAAGATGTCTCTCTTCGGTAGCATTAAAGAATATATGGAAAGGCCACTCTAGCTTCAAGATCTTCATCTGTTAAGTGAGAAAGATAATTCCTGCCCCATAAGTCTGGAAGAATGAAAAACAAGCAGGAGGCACATCCATACAAAATGTTTAATAGGACACCTTAAACATTATAAATGCTCTTAAAAGTCATCATTTTTATCATTATAATCCACAGGTGGCTTTATGATATCTTAAACGTAAGAAAACTAGATTTTAATAAATTTAGTTGCACAAAGCCACAAAATGAGCTGAGTATTATTATACATCAGTCATCTTAAATTGTATAATATATCTAGAGTAGCAAAACAAGAATACCAAAAGCTCATTCATTTTTCTATTGGTATTATCTGATGTCTTATCACATAAGTCACAATGAATGATTTTCAATATTGTATTTTATGTCATTTACATTATGTATATCTTATTTGTGGTATATTATAGTTTATATCATGTTTATATATATATATATTGAATACAGTATGATGATTGTGTTATAGTCACGATTAAAAACACTATAAACTTTTAAGTTCATAAATCAGTTGTTATTTGCATGGATTAAGGGAGGAACAATACCCTGGAATTTATTCCTTGGATTTGTTGGATTTCACTCAACAAATAAATATTCATCTTTCCTCGGCAAGAAAAACAAAAAATAATAGAGAGTTAAAAGCCAATAAGAAATAAAATGTAAAGCAAAGAGGTTCCTGCCTTCCTGAAAATGACTTTCTAATAAAAAAGAAAGATGAAAACAAGTCATTTCAACCTAGTGAGGCGATTGCCTATGCAAGTGTTCAAGTACTTCCCATGATGCTCCTTGCTATGTTAGGGAAGTCAAGGGAGGCTACCCTGGTAAGGTTTTCAGAATCAAACTCTCTTCAGTATTCACGTGATATTTGCTGGACACCTTTTACAAGGCCTGAACCTCATGGATGTCCTCCACTGGGAGGAAAGCCCCTCCCCCATTTCTACATATATCTCTGAAAACCTCAGCTCAGTTATGGGAGTAAGATTCTGGAAGAACCAAGACTGTGTACCTCATCTTGCAGTCTTTTCTCATTCACATTTAATTTAATTAGAAATAGCTTAAATCGAACTTCAGTGGACCAAAGCGACAAAACAACCAGGAAAACTCTATTTGCTAATAGGGTAGATTTAGGTCGATGTTTTCTAGCACAGTAAACATAAGCCTAAATGCTCCTAATTAGAGGGAGTGTGAAGCCAGCCGAGAATACCAAGTTCCCTGGAAGTCCTGTGGGGTGAGTACCACACTGCAGAACATGAATCAAATCACATCAGAAATGCTTCCCCACACCCAATATGCCCAAACTTACTCTGTATGCATTTCAAGATTTATTTTTCAAGATTCACTATTTATAGCTTCAATTAGAATTCTGAGATTTTGATCATTCACCTTTGCCCTAATACACTCAAAAAAAAAATTCCAAAATCCTTTCCTATCTCATAGAGACAGACAAAATCCTTTCCTATCTCATAAAGAGCCTTAATTTCCTGCTCTTTCCACTTCTCATGGAATCATAGGTAAACTGGAATGTTGATGGTTGACAATTTAGAGAAAGCTTTTTAATACCCAATCACCAATCCTTCCCTGAACATCTTTCTTTGTTAACAGAGGTTCCTGCACCCAACTGAATGAGAGAAGATTCCTTCAAGGACAGTGCTAAAATTGACTGGATTTCTTTGTTTGTTTTATTAGGAGAAACTGAAGCAAGTCACTTGAATTCTGAGATGAGGTTGTCTAATTTTAAATCAGCTTGCTGCTCCTCCATTTTCTGGGTTGTAGTGGAGAGCTCAGAAGCACAGGATTGCCTTTGGAGTTGTTCAGAAGAAATCCTTGTTGGATCACTTTCAATTTAGCTATAATATCAATGTCAAGTCAAGCCTCTGATTTGCTGTTTGTTCTCTCTCTCTCTCTCTTCTCTCTCTCTCTCTCTCTCTCTCTCTCTCTCTCTCTCTCTCTCAGCAGCTAGAAAATGGCAGCAGCTATCAAATGCCACTCAAATTTTCAGTGAGTGGTGGTATTTGGTATTTGGTATGCACCTACTCTATGCTGGAATTTTTTTTTGGCTGGAAATTGGACATGGTACATGTTTTCATGTTCATTTGGGTTTGGGTTTTTACATTACAATTACATTCTGAAATGTTTTTTACTTATATAATTGATTTTTATTAAGATAAGTTCTTTTTAGTATTATTTTTTGTTCTAGTGACAATTTTGTACATAGATGCTGTATTTTGATTATTGTCACCTTTTCCATTTCTTATCTCCCTCCCATACACATTCCTTCCCCAATGCTTGCAACAAACCCATCTCCACATTTCTGTCTTTCTGTTTTGCTTCATGACCCACTGAGTTAAAACAGAACTGTCTGTGTGTCCACAGGTTTGCCATTATTCCGTGGAGGAGGGTGTGCTTATCAGTGGTATGCAACTTTAGAGAATGTCTGCCTATTTTGTGTGGTTCTAAGACCTACTAGACTTCAAAAATTGTCTAGGCTTGACTCTTGAAGCAACTTTGCTTTATATCTTCAGTTCGGAAAATGTCAGTCATCTCTAACCTCCACAAGACTGACTCTCGAAATCATACTATAAGCTACTATTTCATTGAACCATGCAATGCTTTTGGACTATGACTTAATACTGCATCATCGGAACCTTCCTTGCATCACTGGTCAATGGCTATTAAATCAAGATGACTATTGCTCTTTACTCCTATCCTAATATTTACCAAATATTATTTTTTTTCAAATTAAGATGATGTATATCTTCAAGATACCAAAAGCAATTAAAATTTTATCTTTAAGCAAAAGTCAAACTGTTTATCCTAGAAAGAAACTTGACAGATAACCACAGGATATTCAATTTGCATTACCAATCTCCTCCCAGAATAGGAGACAACCACAGCTGCACCCTTTCTCATTTTGTTAGCATCACAGTCTCCATGAACATTTTTGGTCCCTAACTTTGCCTCCCCCTCTACTCTCTTGCCAGCGACTGTAGAGTGACCTCCGTTAGCTTTTCCCCCATCTGCTTTACAAAATCACTCTGCAGTTCTATTTTCATCTCTGCTTCCCAGCGTCTAAACCACTGAAGCTGTGACCTTTCGAGCAAATGTAGCAATGGCATCAGCATAGCCTCTGATTGAAAAATCAAAACGCAGCCCATACATGGTGTAATTATTCGGTGTGCTCAGAAGTGCTGTCTGCACTTGCGGAAGGCAGATAATTGGATTCCAGATAACTGTTAAAAATATGCACCTTCCACCTGAGCCCAGCAGTATATTTGCCTTAGGAACCCCAGAGAAACCTGCAACTTCATGTTATCTTCATGTCCTTATTTGTATACAGTTAGTTGCTGGGTCCTGCTCGTTCTGTCTTCTGAAGGTCTCCAGTCCAACTGCTATTGTCTCTGAAGAACTCCTTGAGATGCTTGCCATTATAGTCCATCCGGACAGTCAGTACTTAACTTGAACAGCTGTGCATCTTTGCATTCACAGCCTTTCATCACATAAACAAAATTCTCTGATTTCTCTGGTCCAAACTTCATACTCCACTCTTGCCCTTCTCCCGTTCATCTTCCCCATGATCACCAGAATGACTCTAACAGGACAATTAAACTTTCCCCCTCTACAGTCACTATTGTCATGGAGGCCTGCTAAATAAATGATTTCTTTTTATTTTTTTTCTTTCTGACACAAGAGCTAATGTGGTGAAGACTGGCCTCTACTCTCTATATAGTTGAAGATAAACTTGAATTCCTGATACTCCTACCTCTACCTTCTGCATGCTATGCTTATAAGTAGGCATGAGCTACCACACAGAGTTTTCTGCAGTGCTAGATTCAAACCTTGAGCATGCTAGAAATGGGACATTGAGCATGCTAGTTTCAAACAATCTCAATTTAAATTAAATACATTGAAAAATCAGAATCCTAAAGATCCAGCAACACTGTACTACTATTCTCAAATGGTCAATGTTCCCTGGATCTGAAGAGTGCCTGTCCCTTTAAGAAAGTATAGCCTTTATTCCACTCATTATTTTGATATCTCCTCAGGTGGAACCATGTGTCACAGTGCTGGCATAGCATCAAGAGCACCACGTGTACCCCTGGCTGGTTTCTGTGAACATTGACCATTCATGACCCTGTGCATCTTAGTGGACATATGGATATCAGAAAGATAACTAGTAAATTAAACGTGGAATTAACTTGTTCTAGGACTCATATAAAAGAATTTAAACTTATGGTATGTGGCTTCCTTCACAGATGTGTTTAAGTGTTATCAGCTTTTACTGTGGTCTTACTTCTGTAATGGGGCACTTGGAATACAAAGAGAAAATGGGAGAAAAATGACCAGGAAAAAAGTAAGTTCATGGTAACTTTGATAAACATTTCTCTTACCATCTTCTAAACTGATTACTAACACAAGAGGAAAAAAAAAAAAACACTGAAGATGTCTTAAGTTCCACAGAGATGAAATTTAACTTAAGATGCTAGTGGCCTGCTTACTGCTTCATTTCATTCTCCAGCTCTTCATAGAATTTAAATAGGAATTAGAGTTATGCAATGAGAACTTTAACTCAAATGGTTAACTGTATTATTATAAAATTGCTTTTAGAACCACAATGGCATTTTGAATAAAGCTTATAATAAAGTGACATAAAAATGAAGGCAAAACAAGTGAACTTACTACCATTGAATGTCTTGTTTACTTCGGCTACTATTTTTAGAAATTTGTATGTGTGCTTGCGTGCGTGTGTGTGTGTGTGTGTGTGTGTGTGTGTGTGTGTGTGTGTGTGTGAGAGAGAGAGAGAGAGAGAGAGAGAGAGAGAGAGAGAGACAGAGAGAC